CAGGTGTGGTCTGTGTGCAATCTGCTCAGGTGTGGTCTGTGTGCAGTCTGCTCAGGTGTGGTCTGTGTGCAATCTGCTCAGGTGTGGTCTGTGTGCAATCTGCTCAGGTGTGGTCTGTGTGCAATCTGCTCAGGTGTGGTCTGTGTGCAGTCTGCTCAGGTGTGGTCTGTGTGCAGTCTGCTCAGGTATGGTCAGAGCAGAGACCCCGGTGAGGGCCGCCACACCCCCCCAGGAAACGGCCCAATGAGAAGAAGCCTTCCTTCCGGTTCCAGCTTCGCATCTGCGTTCCGCTCCGTGTGGCTCAGCATTCATCTTTTACTCAGATTGCTCGATACATAGCTGTTTAATTTCCAAGCACAGAGAGAAGGGTCTATATTTAGGCTCTGGGCAGCTGTGGGTATCTTAGTGCTGTTAGATAAAGGCCCACAGCATAGAAAAGCCCCCCTCCCCCCAATGCTCTTTCCATACCCTTTATGCGGAGAGCTGGCAGTCGCTCCCTTCGCCAGAGGCATCTTCATTCCTGCCCTTTAAGTGAAGGGATGCAGAGGAGTCTTAATTAACCTGCCTCTGTTTCGCTTGCCGGAGTGCATTCACTTGATGAGCTGCTGTTTGAGATTAAGGGAGCCCAGTCAGTATAAATGTGCACTGAAACATGTCTGCTTTGGATTGTTTTCTAACCCACTGCTCCGTATTCATTCCTTTGGAAGCGGCGGTGTTGTGTGGATCTTTATCATGCAATGCTAATACGTTATAATACGTTATTCGCTATTCCGCTGTATGTTTGAATTTCTTTTTTTTAACCAGCTGGAGTTCTGTTAAACAGACATACGTTATCTCAATGCCAAGGAAGTAAGGAATAATGTATGTTTCAGTAGACCAGCGTTTCCCAATCCGGTCCTCAGGGACCCACGATCGCTCCATGTTTTTGCTCCATCCCAACTCCCTACCAGGACTTTAGAGGGAGCAAAAACCTGGACTGTCTGTGGGTCCCCGAGATCAGATTGGGAAACACCGATGGCCTCTCCAGGTTGGCTCAGGTGCCTACGGGTCTGTGGTCAATGATCTGAAGAGGTATGTTCACAGCTGTGCCTCAGTGAAGCATGGAACAGAGGACAGGCTAGGACATGAACATCGCCATCGGGCACAGCTGAGGTCATGGTCACATGACCTTCTATTTAAGGGGCAGCATGCAATGCCTCATGTTGTGCGCTCTCTGCCCTCTGCCTGCAGACGGGATGGGTCGGGTCCTGGCGCAGGACGTGTATGCCAAAGACAACCTTCCTCCTTTCCCTGCCTCGGTCAAGGATGGCTACGCTGTCAGAGGTAAGGCCCCAGTGAGCGTTGTTTAGAAGGAATACGGTAAAATACACACAGGATGGAGGAAGTCTGCATGCTTTTTACGTTTCTGTGTCAAAAGATCATGGAATCTAAGCTACTTTGTCTTTTTAATATCTGACGTTTACATGGTTCATGTTTATTTAAATAAGCAATGCAGCTATGTTTTAAATGCCACTATAACTTTGCTTAACTCTGACTTGTATTTGGAATTCAGGAACAAAGAAAGACTGCAGTGGTAGTTAATCTTTTATGAACTGTGAGCAAATAATTACTGTGTAACAGTAATGGATAATCTCCAGTTTAGCTCTGAATAAAATTAAGTTGACCGGTAATATCGAAGTGATGCACTTGTATCAGAGGGTATGATGATTTTCACTCCAGCTGAGCACTTAATTAATAGGTTTATAGCTGTGTATTGACTAAATTTAATATTTTAGATAAAACAGTGTTTGGTTTTACTATATTAAGTCAAGTTTCATAATAGTTACAAAATCTGGTAACGCTTTACTTAAGGCCATGTTTGTAGTAATTCATAAACACATTCATCACAAATAATAATGCATTCATAAAGCATTGCAAACATGGCTATAAATATTTACCAAAAGGCATAACACATTATAACCATGTGTATTATGCATCATGAATGCTTTATGAAGCTTTCATCTAAAATGCACTCTAGATACCTTTATAATGCATTATATGGTCGGTATAATCATTAAGGATGCTTTCATAGTGCATTATAAAGGTATCTGTTATGACTGAGAGCTTCATGAAGCATTCATAATGCATAATAAACATGGCTACAATGTGTTATGCCTTTTGATGAATATTTATTTGCTTTATGCATTATGAATGTGTTTATAAATTGCTAAAAACATGCCCTTAAGTAAAGTGTTACCCAACTTTGCAAGTGTTAGTTCTTTTAATAGGATGTGCTATACTTGATTCTTTTGGAAACAATGAATATTAAAAACATTATCTTAATCATAAATGATTTACAATGGTACCTCGACCCATGGACAGTCTTGTTCACGAACAAATCGCGTTACGAACCAATTAGAAAATTTTTTGTACCGGTTTGCGAACCGTGTTTCAGGCTGCGAACACACAAACATCCCCCAAAAGGGTCCGTTTAAAGTGCCCCACTACTATATCTCTTCAGAGGTCGAATACTTGAAAAATAAAAAAATAGAGAGAGAACATTCTGTTATAGCGGAACCTTTCAGTGATTGATAAACATGTTTGTGATGGTTTTTAACATTACAAAATTACAGTACTTCATTAATAACATAAATTATTAAGTAATTCCTTTTCCGTGTTTTGGCGTCTTTCGAGCGACCAGCCCGCAAACAAGCATATGCTCAGTTGTGTGTTGGCCCCCCTTCCGTAACGTATGTTCTCTCTTTCCCTTTTTTGCTCTTTAAGGTTATTTTAATTTAAGTCTATATTCTTAGTCAGAGAAAAATATAAGAAATTGAAAAAAATCAGTGTTTCTGAGGTTTGAACGAATTATTTGTATTTACATTATTTTAAATAGGAAAAATTGATTTGGGTCACGAGTCCTCGAACGAAATAGGTTCGTGAGCCGAGGTATGACTGTACTTATTTATATGATTAGTTAAAGGGCGAAGAAGTGTATTTCCTGTGGTTTCACTGTAAAAAAGATAAACCTGACTAAAGATTTGACTAAATTAAGTTCAATGTAATTGAAAAATTATGCAGAGCTGTCAGCCAGCTCTGCATCTGATGTCATTTTAATTGTGCGATTCATTTAATCAAGAATACGTCAAAGCGAAAAGAAGCAGATGCCGGCATATCCACTGAGCCGTTTAAAATTCCTGGCATCCACTAAAACTGCATTTGAGAGGAATATGCCAGTGACAGATGAGGCCGCCTTGATTACATTATTCATCACGCACGGTAATATAGATATACGAACATACATTGTTTTTGGATTGAAATCAGTATGTCGTAACGGTTGTGTTTCAGTGAGGGTCTTGTCAGGGTACTAATCAGCCACTGCCAAAATGCCATAATAACCACAGACAGACAGTCATGGATCGTGTCTCTGAAGAGGAAACATTTGTGTCCAGTCCACCTCTAACAGCCTGTTTCCTCTGTCCGACAGCGGCCGACGGCCCAGGAGATCGCTTCATCATCGGGGAGTCACAGGCTGGAGAACAGGTGACACCCTCTCTGCTCACGTCTATCGAGACCCTTTGATATTTATCCTCACTTTCCCCTTTTTCTTTATGATATTTAACGGGCAGTTGGTCCCACGACATGTATGCCCTCAAACACACTTGCACGCCTGCCGCTGATGCTTAGCCCCACGGGCTTCATCCGGCTGCATGACGCGCTTGGAGGAGACTGAGGGGGCTCACCCCGCAGACACCCCGCTGGAACGATATGATTGGCTGAATGACAGAGTCCCTCCCTTACAGCCCACGAGTCAGTTTCAGCTGTCTGGGCCTCCTGGGCCGCAGATGGATGGTGTGGTCAAGCAGAGGCCAGACACAGGACCCTGCTGTAGGACACACTGCACTTACCCTCACTGCACGCTGTGATATCGAGCACAGATCAGGTCTATAGCCTATGGTATATAGCACTCAGCAGAGGCCAGACACAGGACCCTGCTGTAGGACACACTGCACTTACCTTCACTGTGCCCTGTGAAATGGAGCACAGATCAGGCCGATCGTCACTGGCCAAAAAGGGGGCATTTAGACCCTCAAAAGGAAGGCACTGTCAGTCGTTTGGGCAAAAGGGGCAGACACTCAGGGCTTCCCAACCCCCCTCGCATGTCCCTGTGACACAGAGCACAGTTACCTCATGGTATCTAGCCCTGAATCAGCCTCCAGCCTCCCACCCTGAGCCCTGGGGAGGTAAACGCCGTCAGATATTGAATAATAGTCAGGAGTACGGCTTCTGATATGGAATACTGGTCAGTAAAGGGCATAGGTTTGGTTTCAACATTGGTTGGGACCAAACCAGCCATGAGCCCCCCGGCCTTCTACATACACACAGTATCCCCACAATACTGGTAGGGACACGTACAGTACCTACCATCCACACCCAAATCTACACCCTTATCAATACTACACCCTCTGACACTGAGCACTGGTAAAGTATACACCCTCTGTTACTGAACAATGGTGGTCTGCACCCTCTGGTATCTGATACTTATTTAGCGTAATGTTCTTTATCGTCTGCTGCAGTCACACCTCCGACTTACACCTCTGTATTTTAGCTCCATTTGCAGTAGCCCGTTTTTGAGACAGATAACACTTTTTTAGTCAGGAGGTGACGCGTGACTCACAGAGGTCTTGTGGCACCATGTGTTATCGCTGATTCCAGCAGCATTGTAGGTTTTGTCTGGGTAGCAATTGCAATTGCCAATTGTCTGCCTTCCATTGTTTTGGCCTTTTTCCTGGCACTGTGTGTCAGATAACCAGCTGGACAGATAGCAATTAAGATGTAAAGGTAAAACACGTTAAAGAACAAAAAAACAAAAAAGCTGTTAGTTGACTCTGTAGAGGGCACCAGCCAGCATGCAGTCCTGTGGAGAGTCCTGGCTTTGAGGCGTCGCGGTATAGAAGCACGTTAAGTAACTCAGGCATAGGAGTTTCTCGTTTGCCGGCCTCACGGGGCTACATGGTCTCTGTGCCTTAGTTACAGCGTCGCCACCGGCAAGGCGAGCATGCGGCCTTCCCTGTCGGGTCAGTGCCTCCTTAATGAATGCATGCTCCGTCAGGCTGGACCACAGTTAGTCTCAAAGAACCAGCATAAAAAGCTGCGCGAATGTTTCTGAAGGATTCAAAGGTTTCGGAAGCTTTATTGTCATTTGTACTGGTAGGAGTACTGAGTACTGAGTACTGGCAAGATGCTTACTTCTGTGATTACTGCAATTTGGGTCGTTCAGCACAGGGTAACAAGACATAGAACAAACACTTAGTAACAAGACATAGAACAAACACTTAAGTAAATAAATATGCATATGAATATGTAAATATCAATATAGATATGGAGATATGGATGTATCTGGAAGAGACAATAGTGCAAATACAGTACACTATTCTGCAGCTGGTATGTCAGGCATAGGGTGGGAGTGTGCGTCAGGAAGGGCGTGTGTGTGTGCGTGTATGAGCTAACGCACCGGCGTCTCCCCCGCAGCCCACCCACACGGTGATGCCTGGTCAGGTGATGCGGGTGACGACAGGCGCCCCCATCCCCTGCGGGGCCGACGCCGTCGTGCAGGTGGAAGATACGGAGCTCCTCCGCGAATCAGAAGACGTGAGTCTGACCCCCCCTTCTTAAACATGCACCCTCCCATATATCCCATATATCTACGCTCCTCCCATATATCCACACTCCTCCCATATATCCACATATATCCACGCTCCTCCCATATATCCACGCTCCTACCATATTTCCCATATATCCACGTTCCTCCCATATATCCACGCTCCTCCCATATATCCACGCTCCTACCATATTTCCCATATATCCACGTTCCTCCCATATATCCACGCTCCTCCCATATATCCACGCTCCTCCCATATATCCCATATATCCACGCTCCTCCCATATATCCCATATATCCACGCTCCTCCCATATATCCACACTCCTCCCATATATCCCATATATCCACGCTCCTCCCATATATCCACGCTCCTACCATATTTCCCATATATCCACGTTCCTCCCATATATCCACGCTCCTCCCATATATCCACACTCCTCCCATATATCCCATATATCCACACTCCTCCCATATATCCACGCCCCTCCCATATATCCCATATATCCACGCTCCTCCCATATATCCCATATATCCACGCTCCTCCCATATATCCACGCTCCTCCCATATATCTATCTACTGAATCTTAGCGCTACAAAGCTCTATTGCTCTTGTGATGTATGGAATTCTCCAAAGGAGAGGACGGTTTTTAATAGAAAGAAATAGATACAGAAAGCTTTACTGTCATTGCACTGCAGTACAGCGAGCTGAACAAATCATTCGGATCTTGTTGGGATTCATTTGTGGTCTGACAGTATGGGCTTTGTTCTATGGGATGGGTGGGGGGTGGGTAGAGAAAGTGGCTGGAGGGGGTTTGGCAGATGGGAGGAGATGCCGTTTCGCTGGGGGGTGTCTGATTACTCTCGCGTTTCAGGGCACAGAAGAGCTGGAGGTGCGGATCTTGGTACAAGCGCGTCCAGGCCAGGACATCAGGTCGGTGTTTCCAGTCCGCTGTCCCGTGCCAGAGCCCCAGTCTGTATCACCAGTAACAGCCTCCGCTGCATCCCCCAGGCCCATCGGACATGACATCAAGCGCGGCGAGTGCGTCCTGGCCAAAGGGACACACATGGGCCCTTCCGAGATCGGCTTGCTGGCCACTGTCGGAGTCACGGAAGTCGAAGTGCAGAAGTTCCCCGTTGTGGCCGTCATGTCCACCGGCAATGAGGTTCAGTCCGCCGCCTCGTGGACCCTCCGTCCTTCATACCTCAAACCGCCCCATCTCTTTGGCCGTTCGGTTCTGATCGTGTGTCCATTTTCCTGCGGTCCAGCTGCTAAACCCAGAGGACGACCTTCACCCAGGAAAGATCCGGGACAGTAATCGCTCCACCCTGCTGGCCACCATCCAGGAGCACGGCTACCCCACCATCAACCTGGGCATCGTCGGGGACAAGTATGACTGCTGAACGCTCATGGGAGTTTTACTGACACAAAAATGTTCAGAGGGAAGAAAGAAAAATGATTGGTTTAGAGAGATAACCAATCGGATTGTAGAGGACCAAGATACCTGATTGGTTGGTCCCATCTCCTCTAGTTACTTGAACCCACCTCCTCTGCAATATGATTGGTTATTTCATTTCTTGGTTCTGCTCTCAGGACATTTTCGTGTAAGTAAAACTCCCATCAGCCCGCAGAACCTTCCATCATATGGCGTTCCGCTCACGGATCAGAGAAGCAGTGCTGACGTGTCCCCTGTGTGTCCCCTGTGTGTCCCCTGTGTGTCCCCTGCAGCCCCGACGACCTCCTTAATGCCTTGAACGAGGGCATCAGTCGTGCTGATGTCATCATCACCTCAGGAGGTGTGTCGATGGGCGAGAAGGTAATTGTCACTCCATAGGGACAGCTTCTCTCACACTCTCAGGCTCTATTTTTAGAGCTCAGTAAGTCAGAAGACCATGCTGAATAAACCATAAAGCTCCAAACTTTAAACATATACACACAAACATAAATTGCAGAAAAATTCAAATGGATAGTGTGGTGAAGGCCATCTCACAGTAATTTACCCATTTATGTGTAGATGCAGAAAGTAACGCAGATTCATGCAGCACTGGATTATTGTTTTGGCACTCAGTATCATTTTATTATTTATTAAACGTAAGGGATATATTTATCTGAAATACATATTTTAATATACAGTTAGGCAGGTACTGTAGTGTAAACTCTAAAGTGCAGATACATTTCAGAGTATACTTTAGCGTGGATGCATTTCACCTGTTCCATTCTACACGAACAGGAATATATTACCTAGATGTAGGTACACCCTGAAACGTACGAAAATGTCTGTAATAACGGCCAAAAAACGGCGATTGATCCCAAGGTCGTAAGTTTGACCGTTTCCATAACAGGACGTGCAAACGTGAGGGGTCGTAAAAATTGAAAATATATGGTTAATTTTTGGAAATTAACCAACCGTTCCACAGTACAGCCAGCAGTCTGCGGCTGAGTGGAATGCTGGTCACAGGCTGGTAGTTGGGAGCCCCCAGTTTAGACTTAAATTTTTCCCCTCATCTCAACAGACATTCATCAAGATTTCAGATGACCCAACTTCCAACAAAAACAGTCTTCTCCTGCTTCTGTTTCTGTAGACCTTTTTCTTTTGTCCTGCACTATAATTTGCAGGCAGGAAACTAACAATGAATGACCAATTCAGTGTGTTTAACAATGTATCGGGCCCTGCATTCCTCCGTTACGTAAGATGTAATAAAAGGGATTGCGCACCCCTTCGAAGGTTAAACATTTTAACATTGTGAATGGCAGACTGTTTTTAATAAGGCATTTCTTGAAAATGGATGTAATTTCGCGGAAATAATTCCTCGTTTTAAAAACTTGCGTCATTTGCATTGTTAGAGGAGCTCGTGGCTTCATGGTGCATGGTCGCCATCTAGTGGCGTTGTCTGTGTGTCGCATCAACTCTTCGGGATTTTCACTCTAATAGATGCAATAATTTGATGACAGTCTGTCAGCACACTGTCTGCCTTAGACATTATCCAAATAACAAGGGTGTTGCGCACCATGGAAAATTATTCACTCAGGGTGAATGAGGCAGCGCTGCTATGCTGAAGTGCCTTAAGCATAAACCTTCTGGGGTTCATTGCAGGACTATCTGAAACAAGTGCTGGACATTGACCTCCATGCCCAGATCCACTTTGGAAGAGTCTTTATGAAACCAGGGTAAGGTTTACAGATTGTTCATCCTTATTGTTTCTTTAATATTTTAAATGAGTGACTTGCTTCATTAAATACATTAATCAATCACCACCATTAATTTACTGACAGTTTGATTCGTCATGCTGTGTAAGGAAGAGTGACCAAGTGTATTTTGGAATGGGACCCCCTTCTGTGCGCTGCCGGTCTCACTGTCTCCTCCTGTCTGCCTGCAGGCTTCCCACCACGTTTGCCACCTTGGACATCGATGGTACCCGGAAACTCATCTTTGCACTGCCAGGTATGGGGGGCCGCGGGGGTGAGTTCGGGCATCCAGCCATTCCTCAGTTAGCGACTGGGTTCCGTTCCAGTGGTGCCCGAAATGGTAGCTAAATGAAAATCACGCTGGCCCAGGCGCGACCGCGACCGCGACTGCGCTGATGAATTTACGTCAGCCTTCTGTACTCTGTTGCATTTGTTCTTCATGAGGGGGACATTTTTAACAACATTTTGTACATTCTGCTTCAAAGATTTCTCTCAGTCCAGAGTGCATTGTCAGGAGTATACAATGTGGTTGTAAATGCGTGCATCAGTCAGAATTATTATTATTATAATTATTTTTAAATATACTCTTATATTTGCAAATGGTTGTTAAACAAGGAGGAGTTGTATAGAATAGTGATAGTTCATTAATCCCTGTAGAGAAATTGCCTTTACATGTACCCAATGTAAAATAAATTATTGATACTTTACTGATCCCCATGAGGAAATTCTCTTTATGCCTCCCCCAAGTTGCTCCCTGCAGTGAAGGGCAGTCTCCTGTTGTGGCACCCAGGGACCTGGGGGTTAGGGGCCTAGCTGAAGGGCCCACAGGTGTGGCAAGGCCGGGCTCGAACCGGCAACCTTCTGATCACAGGCACAGAGCCACCTTACTCTTATAAGATGCACAAACAGTGAGAGCAGGCTTGGGGAGGGGGGGTCACAGTGCAGGGTCAGTCAGCATTCAGTCCCCGTGGAGCTGGGGGTTAAGGGCCTCGCTTAGGGCCCCAACAGCAGCATCAGTCTGCCGGCCCTGGGATTCAACCCGGCGACCTTTTGATCCCTGGCCCAGAGTCCTACCCCGCTGAGCCGCACACGCACGTTAACGTGACAATGCAGGCATGACAGCACAAGGGCGTTCGAAACCGAAGGCAGCCAGCCACCAATCAGCTTTAAGAAATCCCTGCTCAGGGGAAAAGACTCTCAGCTAATCTCTTCTCATGCTACCTGTGTCCCCTGGCAAATGAGCACACTTCACAGCACCCGCATTGTCTGCATAGCGTAGCCTCCTTCAGCTGCTGAATCCTGATAGAGAGTCTCAGGCAATTGCTGATGCAGATCACATGCCCAAAGCAGAGGTGAATTCTGAGATCCCCTCATGTGGGAGGAGGGGCTTAAGTGGCCGCGGATGCTGTGTGATTCTCTCCCACCTCCAAGCGGCGCGGACCGGAATGACCCCTCGCTGCAGCTCTCTGCGTTAAAATCGGCACGTCCTCCAGCTCCCGTCTTCCAAAGGAGACGTCAGCTTTCCCGTGTGACAGCTCCACTCCTGCAAGTCATGCCGCCAAAAGCTCAGTGCCACATCGCACGGCGCAGTCATGCCAGCGGGTCACACTCGCTGTCACACATACACACATGCATGTGAAAACACATTCTTAAATTTGGTTAAAGTGCTTTCAAAGCATAATTCCTGTACGTGATTTTTCTTTAAAAAGACACTCGTGCTGTGACTCCATGCTACGCACTGCTAGACTCGCCGTGGTTAATAAAATCTGCTGTATTTGTAGCATCACTCTTGCCGCAGTTTTGTCCTTTTAGGAAAGTGCACTTTTTGGTCCCAAAATCAAACTTCCATTTGACACCTGGCCCGTAACCTGATTCAGCCCTGTTCCTCCATGGGCTGCCTCCCCTGCTGTGGCGACTGCCTCTCAGGGTAATTAGACCTTTACAGAGACAGGAGTGATTCTTCTCTAGCCTGCACCATTATGTGACCATTCCCCAGGCAGCAAGACGGTCAGACGGCCTCCCCTGTGCACACACAAGGGGTTTACATCACTCTCCTTACCATCCATGCCCCCACAGGCAGAGTATGGTAATGCACTGAGCTTGGATAGACTGCCTTCCTTCCAAACATTTCATCTAAGAACAGAAGTTTAGATCAATAAAAATCATCTTGACGATAAAACATTTTCTGGGCCTCCCTGTTCTGTTTTCTGTGAGGTGTTTTTGACAGATGTTCCCTACGGGGGTGCGTGATGTCCCAGGCTGTCTGCCACGCCCACGTCCCGTCATGGTCCTTATCCCCTTCCTCTGACTCTGACAGGAACACTCACTGACATCGTGCCATACGACAGCTGCTTCTACTTCTGTGGAGCATGTCTACCTGTCAAAGAATCTTCTTCATGCCTTGTCTGTAGAGCTGTATGCGGCCTCCCCCATTTTGCCTGTTCAGCACTTTCTTACCCCTCCCTGCGACCACGAGCAGATACAGGGGTGCATGTGTCACACTTCTCCACCCTTTCACCGTGGGATGTGGCCGCAGAAGGCATGACAGTTAATGACACAGAACGTAACCTGAAATCCCAGGAGGGCTGGTAACTAACACTAGGAGTATTATTAAAGCTGAGCTCTTCACCTGAGTCATATCTAGCTCGATGAGCAACTACAAGGATATTAATTATAGTAGTAGTAATAATAAGCAAATATGATGTATAATAGTAATAAGACTGTGTGTTCAGTTTGTACACAGTATCTGCCGTATCCTTCCCTGTTTTAAAGTCTTCCTTCCACATTCACGAGTGTGACATTTCTCATTTTTAGTTTTTCGTGACTTTTCCGTGAACAATTAAACGGGAATATTTTTGGATGATGGGAAAGCCAAAAAAATGTAAACATTGCCAAATATAATTTGGATATATTTATATTATGTAATACTAATATATAAATATCATTATTGTTGTTATTGTTATTGTTGTTATTTAGTATTTGATAGTGTATGTGCATACTACATGTTTAATATTCAAAGTTATTTTTGGTTAAAATGGCTTGGATATGCCCTGTGTTTCATTGTGACTGTGGAATCTCACCTTTCCCACAGTAACTTTTGAACTTTCCTGTGCCATTAATTTAGCATTTTTAATAATAATTATTCACAGATTTTCACATTTTCTGGACTCCTCTGCCCCTAACCCTCATGAACGTGAAGGGGTTAAAAATGAGGCCTTGTTTCGGCCCAAGCCAGCTGCATCCGTACAAACAGTGTTTCTCTCTCTCTTCCTCTCTCTCTCCCTCTTTCTCGTACATTTGCAGGTAACCCTGTGTCTGCTGTTGTGACCTGTAACCTCTTTGTCATTCCTGCCCTAAGGAAGATGCAGGGAATTCTTGACCCCCGACCCACCATCATCAAAGCCAGGGTACGCATGGGATTCAGCAGAGGCAAATTCTCTTTTCCTTTTTAAGAACACGTGGCCATTAGTGAGTCTCTTTGTCTGCTGTCTGTGTGTGTGTGTCCCTTGGGCTTCACAGCTGTCCTGTGATGTGAAGCTGGATCCTAGGCCAGAGTACCACCGCTGCATCCTGACATGGCACCACCAGGAGCCTCTGCCGTGGGCACAGAGCACAGGTGCACGTGGCCACACTTCCGCTCCAAGGGGAAGGACATAGTGATTAAGGGCTTTAACTAGCGTCATTACCAGGATGCCATTCTGGGGTGGGCAGTTGTGTCTGTTGGGTGGGCACCATTATTTGGATTGTGTCAGAGGTCTTGGGGCACAGGGGAGGGGTGGGGTGTGGTCTCTGGTGGGCAGGGATGCCCCAACTGTAGCCAGGCCCCTGAATTTGCCTAGATCTGAGAGGACGCTTAAGCAAAGTGGCTAAATTTTGATGGTTTAGTAGATGTCCAGTTGTAAAGGAAGAACAAGTGCAAACATTAAAGCTTAGAATAAAATAATAACTGCTATTGTAAGCAGACATAATACTAGTTATATGTATGATAAAATATATAAGAAAATATAAAAATCTCTCTGGACTCAATTATGAACACCATTCATCTCAACGCACGACTAAAATTAGGAACCACATGGTGTCTTTCTGACTCTCACCATCACCCCCCCACCCGACAGGAAACCAGGTGAGCAGTCGGCTGATGAGCATGCGCAGTGCCAACGGGCTCCTGATGTTACCCCCCAAGACAGAGCAATATGTGGAGCTGCACAAAGGCGAGGTCGTGGATGTCATGGTCATCGGCCGACTATGATTGTGCCCTGGGAAGGTGGAGGCACACCCTGAGAGACACGGGGGAGGGAGAGTTTTACGGTGCATGTCCACATATCATTATTCTTCTGTAATATGCAACGGCACAGCTGGTTTTTATTGGTTTCGATGAAATTGATCAAATATAATCGACGTGAATATTAAATTAGTGAAACCATGGGAGGAAAAAAAAAGAATTTAAAAACTTAATTGTATTTCAAACAAAGGAAATATATTAACTTTTAAAGTAAGAAATTATAAGAAGATAAGAGATTTATTCTGTAATATATTATTATAATTATGATTACTATCATCATATTTAGGCAACTTTTTCTCTTTCATTGCAATTGCTTTGTGTGTTCTAGACCTTATATAGCTGTAGCATTTAAAAGATAGCTATGAGAGACTGCCAGGATAAAAGCTTATTTTCTCACCGTCAAAAATGAAAAGGAGGATATGACAAAGGCCAAATCTATGGTGCTCTGGCAGAGGAGAGCCTGTCTCGCTCCTCGTAGCTCTGCTTAGGTGACTTCGCTATATCCCCCTTATTAGTATGCTTCATAACTGCTTCACAGAGCGCTTTGCTTGTCGTTTATCTTGTGAGTCGTGTTTATGTGCACAGTGCCAAAAGTGTGGGCAGGGGGTGAGGTCACCAGCTCGAACCCACACACAGGCCGGACTAAACCTGGAAGCTTCCGTACCGCCACCGAAGTTGGTGTGTCCCCGCCTCTTAGGGGCAAGGCAACTGGAAAGCGACCTTTTATTTAACTTTAGAAGGAAGAAACGGCATCTTTACATGCTGCCAGCCTTTTTAACCAACTACAAAAAAAATGTACAGGGAAAACATGAAAAAGAATGATATTGTACAGACATAAGTGACCAGCACTCCTGAACAATTACTAAGCAATGAGGAGATATTGAACAACTGTACTATACATTTTCTGTAATGATATTAAAAGTGATTAAATTATATTCAATTCTTGATGATTATGTAAAATATTCCTTGCTGGTTTTCTTTTTTAAATGAATATAAATAAACGTGAAATAAAGTTTTTTTTTTTCTTGAACAAACAGTCTTAGTTTCTTTCTGCATATCATGGCAGTGGCAAAGATGCTGTATTTATGATCTGAATTTACTCAGACAACTGTTGAAAGTTTATCTGCAATTCTATTTTTTTTTTTACTTTAAATTTCACTGAGATTCAGGGGACATTTATATTTAGATGTAGAAAACAAAAATGACCACATCATTTATATAATTTATGCAATTTATTTGCAAAGACTATAAATTTTGTGCATGTTATTTGTCCATTTCAAAATCAGCTGGTCACCAATAAAATATTGTCATAAACATTTCCATGTTCAGGTTTCCTTATTAGAGGATTATTCTTATTATTGTCAAGTATTTTGCATTTACATAGAATTTGACATTAACATCCATCCATCCATCCATTATCTATACTGCTTCGCGGGGAAGCTGGATGACGTTGACGTAAATCATATAGAAATGCACTTCTCTCACAGAGAATAGACTTTTAGCTTGTTACACTACTCTCATCATTGCGGTCTTCCAAAGGATTTTAGGGAGTTATAACAAATGGATAAGGTGCTTATAACTATGCTTATATAAATAATTATATTATATTTGAATGTATCCTTGTAATTCACACTAGACTAGAGGGTGGTTTTCATAATAATTTGGAAATCTTTTTCATTTTTATTTCATGTTTTTGTCAATTTATTATAGTCGTGTGTTTCGTTAACTGAATTATCATTAAAATGTTAATCCGACAGTTTGGTCAGGTTACACGCTAGAAGCTTGCACTTAACATATCAATATACCGTATACACGATACCCTCTTTAGGACAAAGGCACTTCAAATGCACGGATGTAAAGAGAGCTCTCATTGGACAACCAGATTAGGTATATCAATCTCTGTATTGTAAAGTTGCCCAATGAACAGTAGTGTCTCATGATGTAGGGAGGCGCTATGGAGTCGGCCTGTAGAAAACTGGACTGTGGACTATCCTCTTTACTCCAGTCGGAGCGCTCGAGCAGAAGTGGGAATGTGCTGTTACCAACTTATATAGGTTTATTTTATATTTTCTCTGGAAAAGGCAGCTGGGGGAGAAGTGTCCCCCGTGACGTGCTTTTACTTGGAGCGGCATCTTGCGCCGGTGAGTAGTTTCCCCCGCTCTTTGTGGCTGCCCGGTCGCTGCCGTCCTTCTCGGCGGCTGTATTGTTGCAACAGGTTTTGCGCTCGGAGGAACTTGGACGCGCCGCCGGTCGGCAGGCCCTGGGCTCCCGGTCCCGCTGCGGCTCCGCACCGGCCCGGTTACGGTCAAAACGATGGAAGTGGAAGGTCGCTAAACGCTGCTCAAAGGTTCTGCTGCCTTGTGCGAGTGAATCGGTTAGAGGATAAAGTAAATATTCCCGGTATAACAACAGAGGAACTGCTGCTGTTTCTGCTGAATTCCCTTCGTTTTAAAGAGCCGTGTGAAAGGCGCCCTGGAAATAGCATAAATGGCGTGTTATTTTTAAGCTACACACTCTTTTAAAATAAAAAGTAAAGCAGAGGTGCTTCACATGTAGTAATGTGCCAAATGTTAGTAGTTAACCAAACAGCTAGTTGGTCACATACTAACTTTACAAAGCCTGCAGTATTAGTATAAACTTAGGTGTCCATTAATTTGCGGCTTGTTAGCTGCACATTTTATTAAGCGTAATATATAATTATGGATTTTTTTGGTAGGGTGTACACTTAATTACTACTACTATTAAAGTGTATTTTCCTTAATATAGTAGTGTGTACGTGTTTGCTGCTGGCTAATGTTCAGATGTTCTTATAATGTTATATGCGTATGTCAGCATAGGGACTTGAAGTCCTCAGATCGCGTCCGGCTGTCTGACAGCAAACTTAAGGTTTCTCAAGCTGTCACATTTCGGTCCTGTTAAAGTGTCACTATGTGTGAAATGGTGTTCCGGTATTACTTTTTTATGCATTATTTAGACAGTTTGCATTTATCAATGTTTTATAATGTGAAGCTGCGATCGGAGTGTTTGACCCAGACTTCTGCGTAGCCGGGCGGTTTTCACCGAACTTAACGCGGCTGACTTGCTGCTTGCCCGTAGCAGCTTTTATAAGTCGCCGCATTCTCTCTTTTGTTCAGAAACAAAGAATGAAATCCTTGGGTTGGGCTACTGTGTATATTAAAAATTCCGTGTTTTATGGCTCTCGTGTACCAGGGTTGTAATATTTGAGAGAATCTGTCCTCTGTGTCACAATAGGGTTGCGTGAATGCCCCACCTGTCCCCGGACTGAGCAGCAGTGCGTACGCCCCCCATCCTGTACCTCAAATCGGACTCCCTTTGCCTCACATATCGGCGCCCTTTCATATAGGCCTATCTGTGGTGAAGAAGATGGATTTCCACAGAACATATTTTCCCATAACACTGACATAGTATTAATTCGTGTAGGTGCTCGATACAGGTAGTTGTAAGGGTATCATTTGAGAAGGCTGGCTTTGCCAGTGATGCATTGGGTTTTTCTCGCACTTGATGGATTAATCCCTCAAGTGTCTTTGTTCTTGTCGTAAGTTTGAGCCTGCCACGTTATATATATAGCGTAGGGTTGGAAAGAATCCCGGCTTAGTGTGCCTTCTGGCGGTGCTTACATGTTCTGTCCCTACCATGCCACTAATAAGCACATTTTACTCTTAAATTCATTTTAAATTTGGATGCTGATGTACGAATTGTAATACTTGGGTATTGTGTTAGATGAAGCAATTATAAAATATAGTGTAGGTTAGAACTGTTACACACTGGCGTCTGTGTCGCTATCTTTGTATCTGCTGCTGCACACTCTGGCTTAGTTGGGTCATGTCTTGGGCATTCTGTGTGGATCTTCTTTTATATAGCCTTATTAGTCGGATTAGGGTACATGAACGCTGATCTGAAAGCTTCCAGGAAGACATTTATTTATTTATTTATTCTTTTAAATTGATTGCTGTGAGTGAATCAGATGATCTGGCTGAGTCAATTTAAAAATATATGAAAAGCTATGTGAAAAGTTTCTAAATCCTAAATGGCACTTGGTTTAATGTCACATGTCAAACTCGCATGGTCACTGTGCAGGGCAGCCTCTGGGAACTACCTGTTTTCCGCAGTGTCAATGAGCACTCCTGTCAGGAATGCATTTTGGAGTTTTTCCTGCCTACCTCATTTGCAGAAATCCCCTGTGCTATCTGCTGTTAACACGTGTACGGCGTCTTTCAAAAGGCCTTCTCATTCTTGGTTCTTGGTTTAACTGTCTTGTGCCGCTGCGGGGGGCGGCAGCTCTGCAGAGAGTGCGAGGTGAGGACAGAGTCCTGTGGCATGTCTGCACTGATGGGCACTGTGTCCTGTCGAACCAGAGAGCACAGGGGTAGCTGTCAGGGGTAGCTGTCAGAGCCAGCGGGCTGCACAGAGAAGAGCCACTGTGCTCCAAGCTGTCAAAACTTCAGCTTGTGTATAAAAACTGAAACAACAACAAATTCTGGCTATTGTAATGATCAGATTTTTGTGTTTTGTCATATATAATATCATGGTCTGTTTGCCAGTCTTGTTCATTTTGATGCCAAGCACCATTTGCTGTGGTGTTAAACAGAAAATCAGTTAATACACAGAGTTCTGCTACAGTACCAGAAATATGGCCTGGCTTCTGAATCTGCAGATTGCCAAAATGCTCTGCCATGTTCAACAGCCTAACATGTAGGCCTGTGTAATCAGGCATACTCCTAGTGTTCTAGGTGGCATCTGTATTTTTGCAGGATAAACATTTTCCTATGTGAATTTATTTTTCCCACTTTCAACTTTTTTCCTGTCATTAATGTGATGATGCTGAATTGTAATTTTATTGTTGTTACAGTTAATAGGGGAATGTGCCAATACATATTTCAATTAAAATGCACATGGTTCTGCTACATCATCTAACATTCAAATATATGTAAGTAAATCCATTGGATTTCTGTATAACCATGATTAAGGGAATATAGTTTATCTCTCTTCAGAGGTATGAACTGTTGTAGCTGTAGGCAGGAGATTTAAATAACATATAAGCAATGCTACATATGTAACAGTTGAAGCATTGATTCTGATTCAGTGTTTCCTGTCTTTGTTTTGTTAGCCTTCACCTGTAAGAAGCAGGCAATAAGTATTCCTGCAGATATTAATCATTACTGTTAATATATAAATAAACTCCCAATATCTTCTGTTACATCATTGTACCACAGCTATGATTTCAGTTTTTGTTTTCAATCGGTAAATGTATTCATTATGCATTATTTTTAAGTATTTTAATTTTAGGAATTTACAAAATGAGTATCTTTTTCAAAGGATATTCAAAACCAGATAGTGAATTCATAATCGGCAAAAAACATCTTTTGCAAAAACGATGACAATGGTAAGCTGGTGAAAGGTTTTTTGTTTTTTGTTTCCTTTTTCACATTTAATAATGAATGCTACGCGTTAACTTGCTCAGGTCATCGTTTGCAAACAGGTCATCAGTGATGCAGATGGGCTAATCCTAGCCAGAGACTCTGGGTCACATCAAGACGCAGAGGTCACAGACATTGGGCCATCGTACACAAGCATAGGCTCAAAGGGGGAAATAAAGTAAAACAACCTTCCTGCTTCACATTTGTAATGCATTATGACGGGAATGGGTGCGGACCCCATATGTAAAGAGATTCTCACAGAAGTGGAGACCTGGCAGTTAATCATTCAATTCATAGAAGTTTCAGCCCTGTGGAATTCATGCGTTAATTATCAGGATGGAGCAGGATGATTTACTTCTGGCTTTATAAGTATGATTGTGAAAGACAGAAGGGGATGGATGTTTCAGGGAAGGGTTATGGTGAAGCGACAACCCCATCCGCATACCTCTGACTAATTTTTAAGGGTGTAATGTAAGTTTACTTGGAGTGTGTAGAGAGTGGAAGAACCGGCCTCGTTTTGTAGCTGTATTCGAGGCCTGTATCACAAAGCGAGAATTGTTTGTTGGCTAAATAAATTGTTGGATTTAAGGTA